GAGTAACTTGCAGAAACCTCAGCTGGTCAGGATGTCCTTTTTTTTCTATTGAGAAATCTAATGGGGACTGTTTACTTTGAGGAGGAGAAGGCTGAGGGCAGACCTCAGCACTCTCTACACCTCCCTGAAAGGACACTGGAGAGAGCCTGGTGCTGGTCTCTTCTCACAGGTCATTAGCGACAGAACAAGAGGGAATGGCTTTCAGCTGCAACAGGGAGGTTTACACTGGACATGTGGAGAAAAGGTTTCCCAGAAAGACTGCTCAGACAGGGGAATAGGCTGCCCAGGGAAGGACTGCAGTCACCATCCCTGGAGGTGGTGAAGGGTCGTTTGGATGAGACGGTGGGGGCTATGGTGCAGGGGAGAACTTTGCACCATACTGGGGCTGAGGGTTGGACTTGATGATCCCAAGGGGTTTTTTCAACCTGAACCATTCTGGGATCCTGTGAAATTTAGAGAGGCTACAGTGATTGTCAACAGGCGTGCAGTTAGGTCTCGCTTTCCTTAACTGAGAGAAGAATAGAAACATCTAGAGTATCTGGTTTAGCTGAGAGTTAGAACATGTCAAAAAACAGACAAGAAACACCTTCTTGAAATCAAGGACTAAGCGTCTTGAAAATGTTTCCTCCCCTCTAATTAGACACCGCCCTTTCCAGCTGTGGGACCCGACCCCTTGTGGCAACACCTTCTATCTTGTCTGCCTGAGGCAAATTACCATCTGACACAGAGGGATGCTGTGCCCAGTTACATAAGGCCTGGCCTAGTCCTTATCTATGAGGGCAGCAACAAGTTCTCAGGTGAACATCCCTTTTGTCTGACAGTGGAAATGAGGAATCGAGCTGGCTTCTTGGGGAAAATCCTCTAAGAGCTCAAAGGACCAAAACGCGGTGACTTTTCCACTGACGGGAGGTGCAGGGGGTGCTGGGCCAGAGTCGCAGGCCCATTCGCTGCCGCACAACTTGGGGCTCCCAGCATCTGAATGGCTGTAGCATGAGCTACACTGTCCTCCTTTCCTTTTAAATGGCATCTCAGAAAACCAGCACCTGAAAAGACGCTTTATACAAGTCCAGTGCCTTTCCAAACCGGGATCATGAAGAACTAGCACCTCCTGAGGCAACTGCACTCACCGCCCTACCCCGAAAAGCCACCCCAACAAGCCAAAGCCCAAAGGAAATCATTTTCTAGCATCTTAACGTGCCGACACGCCCAGCACAGGATCGGGCTGTGCGAGAGGCCCAGCTCAAGAGAAAGACACCCTCCTTGGTGTCTGCAGAGTTGTTTCTCTCACAGATTCTCACTCCTCTCTCTGGCTGCTGCTGCCCAGCACTTTTCCCCCCTTCTCAAATATGTTATCCCAGAAGCGCTCCCACCGGCGCTGATGGGCGCAGCCCCGGCCGGCAGCGGGTCCATCGTGGAGCTGCCTGGCATTGCCTCTGCCGGACACGGGGGAAGCTTCTGGCCCCTTCTCACAGAAGCCGCCCCTGATGCCCCTCCGCTACCAAAACCGTGTCACGCAAACACCATACACAGTTAATTCTTCCTCACCGCACCTTCTTCTGTGCCTCCTTCAGGCACAGCTGTCCAGCTACAAAGAGCCCCTGTGTGGAAAGCTCTCGGCAGGGTTAACACATCCTGCCTGTGGCTGCTGCTGCCCACCGACAGTTCATCCTTCATGGCCGTCACCTGCTTTCCCAAATTCTCCTTCTATGCTATGAACCACTAGTCCCTGTCTTGAATTCTGCCTTTGATCTCCCTCCCTTCTCTTGGGCTCCATCTCTAGCATATTACTCTTTCACCTCTCTTTGGAGGTTGTGGAGCCTTTCCCTTTCTGCCCTTGCTTTGACTTCTTACTCCGAAGTTCCCAGGTTTTGCCCTAACACTGCTCTCAAGCGTTCATCTCCCAGTCACTGACGGCAGGCAGTGGGGTAAATGGGACCCCACGTCCTGAGGAGAACAGGATGCCTCACCGTGTTCCGACGCTAACACTCCATTTCCCCCCCGCCCTCGCTACTTTTTGTGCAGGGGCAGCCTAGGACCTGAACGGGACCACAGGTGTTCATTAGGGACACAGGTGTACGCTCTTCTTTCTGCTTTAGCCCTGCCAGTGGACGTCGCAGAAGCAAGAAGCAGCTCTGCACCCCAACAAGGGGAAGCAGCTAACAGCTAACCGTGTACTAACAGGGAACAGCAACTTTCTCAAGCCAAAGAGGGAGGGAGAGGAAGAGAAACACTGGGTAAAAGGATTTGCCTTTAAAAAAAGAGTCATAGAATACTCTTTGCCTCTGTGGTATCAAAGATTTCTTTCCAAGACACTGTGAGTTCCTACAGCACCAAGTTGGGCACTATTTAAGCCCCACCAAATGGGTTTGTTCCCTTTGACGTTAAAGAAACACCACAACGGGAGACTCTCTGACAGGCTCCGGTTTTCCCGACTTTACTGGGGAGCAAGGCAGAAAAAGGAAGGGGTTCAAGCTGGACAGGTTACAGAGCGCCATGCTGTTGACGGCACGTGCTGGAGGTGCCCTTGGCAACCGCTGGAGCGTAACATTCTAAAGCCCCTAGCAACTGCCTTCGCTGGTTCAACAAGCCTGCAGAAGGTACCATCTCCTCCCTTCAAGCCCCTTTCACTCCTGGCTGGACTTTCTGTTTCAAGAAAGAAGCAGAGACCAGCTTCCAAAGGTCCACTTTTTGAGAGGAAATACTGCTTGCAGGATAAGATCGCCCGCCCTTAGTAGTACAGAGGAGAAGCAGCCTCAGAGGTGAAAATGGGCGCACTTGGGAATGACCCCTACTTCCGTTTTCATCCCCCCTACGCGCAGGTAAACGCCGTAGATTTTACAGGGCTTTGTAACCTCGATTCGCTTGACAGACCCTGCTGAAAGGGAGCCTTACTGTCTCAAGTCTGAAGCTGGTATGACCCCTCTCTCTGGGTCATGGCAGCACCTGTCCATCAAACTGCTGATTTTTGCAAGTGCTAAGAGCTAACATAATCTAAACTACAGACAATTTCTCCCGTGAGCTGGGTTCAGATACTCAAGGAAGACGTAAAAGTTAAAAATCGTGAATCAAGATCACCCAGCGCTTCCTTAACGAATTGACATGATGCTGATTCTGAGAAAAAATGGCATGTTTATAGCTTCTGCTCACAGCAACTGCCTGGAACCCCGTAAAGTCACTTACTTAAAAGAAACACCTTCAAAACGGGTCTGTCCTCCAGAGAAATACTATTCTATTCCACCGAGTAAAAACACAAGGGTGGGTGTAGGGCTCTCGGTTCTTGCATCCGCTTCAGCATCAGGGATTGAGGCGTTCACGCCTGGGAGATGGGCTTTGGCCCCAGACCCCAGCCTGTCTCAGGGCATGGCCCGCTTGTGCTGGCTACAGTCCAAAAGTGGTGGGGTTTGGGGATGCTGCTCCTAGACCCAGCTGTTAATGCCTGCACCCGAGTGAAACTTACCAACAAATACACACGGATCTTCAAGTGGGACTTTGCTTTCCTTCAAAAAACGACACAGAAACTCATTCAGAATTAACCCTCAACCTGGCATTTTCAGCTCGCAGCTGGGATGAAGCTCAGTACACCACGCACTAAACCATTTAGGACGTTTTTATTGTGCCATTTACAACACCGGAAAACTCTCTTCTCTTGCAGCAGAAGTACCACAACATCTCCTGCTTCTGGGAAAAACAACCCCGAGGCTGCCTGAGGATCAGCTGTGCTTTCCATCACAGCAAACCTCGATATATCAACGGACTTTTTTTGCCACCTACTAACAGTGAGTAAAAAGATCTTACCAACCCTTTGTTCACTCCACTAAGGACGTACGCAAAAATGTCTTTCCAGTGCTTCCGTAACCTAGAGTAAGGTCAAGAAATGCACCCTAGCAAATCAGTCAGGTAAGATCTGCTATCACAGCAAGGACAAGGCAAGGCACAACCTCTCTGTGTAAAGAGGCCTTCAGTGTCAGAAGGATTTCAGAACTGTACCTGCTGCTCTCAACCCTCATTTGATGTTCTAGTTCCCTCCTAACAAAACAAACACCATGTTCTTTGCTGCAGATGCCCCACCGCAACAGGCTGCCCACCAAGGGATTCTGCATCCAGGCCCTCATCAGCAACCCCACAGGAATCAACACAAGACTCGACTGCCAATTCACCCGCCGCTCATCATAAACCTCGAGGATGATGAGGACGACGAAGATGACGAGGAAGAGGAGGAGAACTGTAAACAAGTTTTTTCTTTCTTTTACAAGGAAGTAGAATGGGGGGGTGTGTGTGTGTGACACGTCACAGCTCATTTATTTGAATAACCGTTACAATGGTAGAAAAGAGTTGTTGACAGGGTTTTGAAAGAGTTTCCAGCTAATCCCCAAGTTATTGGAACTGGTAGTCACCAGGTGGGAGCGAGGCAACATTCCCCAACTCCTGGGCAATGCCTGGCTGTATAGTTCGACAGCGGGATAATTCCTCGTTTTCCCATTAAATAGTGCTGAAGTCACAGGTTTGTTCACCAAAGACAGTGCTCTGACTTCCACTTAAATAATCCCTTCAACTGCTTTCCTCAACTCTGTAGGCAGTCTCCTGCTATTGCAGAAAGTTATCCTTAAATCCAGCAAAAAGAATCCATACAACACTCTCCACAGAAGCTGAATGTATGTGTCTGTTTTTATACGTACAGAGAGAGATTTAGTTTTTCATTTTTTAAAATGTAGTTCAACTGCTGGATGTGTCTCACTCAGAGATGCCAGATTCACAGGCAAGGAACGAATCGCACGTTCCCGGAGAGCGGGAGCGCGACCTACGCTCACGTGCGTGCTCCGCAAACCGCTGTGCTCCTTCCTTCTCGGGCAGCCCCAAGCTGCTCTTCACTTTCCCCCGCCCTTCAGGCTGGCTGGCAGGGCTGCCTGTTCAGGCTTCCTAACTATCGCTTTCAGTCCCAGGAAGCCACAGGAACCTCAACAACACAAGAAGCAGGGCTTTGCTCATCTTAGCAGCCTTACCTGAGACAGCCAAGGAGCACTCCCTTCGCCACCTCCGCTGGCAGACACTGCAGGAGAGGAACTCTGCGCAGAGGATTGCTGACAAGCACTCCCTGCTGACATGTTTCATCACAACATTTCCTTTGGGGGGGAAAAGAAGGATCACGAGTACCGAAGATGGCATGGCATCAGTTTACATCAACAAACATTTGCTTCTTAAGAGGTGTCGTGACTGCAAGTCCACTGCGCCTGCAGAGACCTCATAGCAAGGAATCCATTTTCTGGCCAGAAGCAAGAGCTTGCAGTCAGAAAAAAAGAAGGGCTCTGACCAAAGTGAAATTCCTTATGGTGGCTGGTTATTAAGAATTGACAAAGGTCTTTGTAGAGCTGTCTAGTAACCCTTGAAAAATATTTCCTACAGATGTTCCTGACTGGGTGCCCAAGACTGCTGAAGATATGGAAGAGGAAAGGGCAATAAAGGAAATATGCTCTAAGTCCGGTAAATACAAACTCGGTCAACTCTTGCCTAAACAGCAGTTCTGACAAGAGAGTGAACTTGTTTGTTTGTTTGTTTGTTTTTTTCCCTCGTGGGCTGTGTCTAGGAGAGTATTACAGGATTCAGCCCCCTCGTGAACCCCCCTCAACAACAACTCTGTCTTCACCTCGGGACAAACAGCTGTCCCCCGTGGAAGCTACCCTCCCAGACTTGCAGAAAGGCAAGTACTTTTCATCTTCTTGCACAATGCTTACCACTTTTTAAATTACTGTTACAGGGAGAAACTATCACAGAGTTTGCCCCTTCTCCCCACTTTTTAGATTTCGTGTCGATAAAAAGACGGGAATTTCCATGTGTCCTCGTCCCCCTCTCCCCCCCACCCCCACCC